AAGAAAAATATCCATATTCAAAACGTAATAATCACTTTAATGTAGCTTGCGCCAACAGTCCTACACGGAAGCAGCTCTTTGCGCATGCGCCGGTCAGAAGTGACGAATGCGGAAGCGCATGAAAAGTGTTATTTTAAATTGTAATATTATTTTTAATTGTAATATTTTTACTGTATTTTTGATCAAATAAATGCAGCCTTGGTGAGCATAAGAGACGTCTTTCCCAAACATTAAAAATCATAATTATACCAAACTTTTGAGCGGTAGTGTATATCTGCATTTAACCTGTAAGCGGTGAACTTGTTTTCTTAATATCAGTCTTGTCTGTTGAAAAAAACATATGGGTCAACCATATAGGACTGAAACTGTAATAAACCTGTGTGGGCTAAATCATCAGACATCTGTTTTAAAGCTTGCACGCTCTTGTCTCAGTCCATTCAGGATGCCTGGATCTCTCCCTGCTGTTTGTGAAGCTGCGTGGCCTAAGGATGTGGGAATCATGGCTGTGGAGGTGTATGTGCCCTCTCAGTACGTGGAGCAAGCGGAGCTGGAAGAGTTCAATGGGGTCGGAGCAGGGAAATACACGGTGGGGCTGGGCCAGGCGCGCATGGGCTTCTGCTCGGACCGGGAGGACATCAGCTCTCTGTGCCTGACGGTGGTGCAGCGGCTGATGGAGCGCAGCTGCCTGTCCTACCAGAGCGTGGGCCGGCTGGAGGTGGGCACGGAAACCATCATCGACAAGTCCAAGTCCACCAAGACCGTCCTGATGCAGCTGTTCGAGGAGTCGGGCAACACTGACGTGGAGGGAGTGGACACCACTAACGCCTGCTACGGAGGAACCGCCGCGCTCTTCAACGCCGTCAACTGGGTGGAGTCCAGCTCCTGGGACGGTGTGCTTCTCACTTTACACATTTCACCACAAAATCAAAAGAAAAATAATATTTATAATAAAATTTAGCTTAAAGATTGTGAAGTGTTTTAATTTTTTTTCCACAAAAATTAATTACTGTAATCCAAAAACTAACATTAACAGCTTATCAAATCAAATAAGCTGTTGAAGGAGTAGTTCACTTCCAGAACAAAAATTTACAGATAATGTACTCACCCCCTTGTCATCCAAGATGTTCATGTCTTTCTTTCTTCAGTCGTAAAGAAATTGTTTTTTGAGGAACATTTCAGGATTTCTCTCCATATAATGGACTTCTATGTGCCCCCGGGTTTGAACTTCCAAAATGCAGTTTAAATGCAGCTTCAAAGGGCTCTAAACGATCCCAGCCGAGGAAGAAGGGTCTTATCTAGCGAAACGATCGGTTATTTTCTAAAAAAAAATTACAATTTATGTACTTTTTAACCTCAAACGCTCATCTTGTCTAGCTCTGCTTGAACTCTGTTCTTTCCGGTCCAAGACAGTTAGGGTATGTCTAAAAACTCCCATCTCATTTTCTCCTCCAACTACAAAATCGTCCTAAATCGCTGCAGAAGCACCGACCCAGTGTTTACAAAGTGAACATGCAAAGAAGATCAAATGCCCTTTATTTATCCGTGGCCTAATGGTTAGAGAGTCTCAAGTCCGGCAGGAATTGTAGGTGGGGGGAGTGAATGTACAGCGCTGCCTCTATTTTATAATCTCCGCCCCACACGTACGTACACAACCCTGGCATAACGACGATCGCGGAAACAAGCGAAGATGACACGCAAGCATATTGAAACAAAAGCCAACACGGATAAGTTGTGTGAAACTTAGAAAAATCAACGTTACTCACCTATCAATACAGATTGTGTCAAAGCAGCTTTACAATATTAATTAGGAAAACGGTGGCTGTCTAGGAGACAAGGTCTTCACTGGGGATCTGTCTCTGGGGCTCATCTAGTCCCGCTCCTTGAGTTCTCCCCACCGCTGGAAACCTGCTCCGATGTTTACGCCGGTCCTACCTCTTGCCTGATCTTAACCCTTCTTTTTAATGTTTTGTTTCTCTGAAATTTTCCTCTTTTTTTTGTCTTCCAATTCTCTCTATCCATAGTTGATCTGCTAATATCCATCTGTGCACTCAAACGGAGCGCTCTCTTCTCTCTATCATTACAAAACACGCCCCTTACTGCTGATTGGCTGCAAGTGTGTTTTGGGACTCGATCCGACGCTGTGGTCAAAAGCGTTTTTCAAATATTGCTTAGTGCACCTTTAAAGTAAAATTATTGAACATAAATATAGGAGCCTGATAAAAATGCTCATTTTAGAAGAAAATTTCAGACAGCACTTAGAGGCTTTTGCATCTGAATTTATATATATATATATATAATATATACATTTTTTTTATTTTTTGAAAATTACAATGTTTAAAAAAAAAAAGAATTTGGACTGAAAATATCCTTCATTATTATGTCAGTAATGTTACAATGCAAAAAAATCATAATGGTCCTGAAACATGCTTCATTATCTTCTATGCAAAATATTATTTGGCTTAGTTTTTATTTAAGCTCTTATTATTTGGTGAATTGTGAACATGGAATTCATGCACTAAAAACACTCGATGCTTCATCTTGAATTGTTTGCCTGTTGAGTGTAGACTCGCTCTAATACGATCTGATGTGGCAGGCCGTTATGCTCTGGTTGTTGCGGGTGACATTGCTGTGTATGCCACGGGCGGCGCCAGGCCGACAGGGGGAGCCGGAGCCGTGGCCATGCTAGTCGGACCCAACGCCCCTCTGGCCTTCGAGAGAGGTATGAGGCCTTCGAGAGAGGTATTGTTTGCTACAATAGCCTAGAGAGATATAACGAAACAAACCTTATCACAAAGATAACAAAACCCAAGTCAACACTTTTATTTCCCACTATATTTACATAACTTTATTTACTACATTTGATATTTTTTATTTCATGAAGTAATTAATATGTGATCACTTATTTTAACAGGGCTTCGTGGGACACATATGCAACATGCGTATGATTTCTATAAGCCAGATATGGTGTCTGAGTATCCAGTGGTGGACGGCAAGCTTTCCATCCAGTGTTACCTCAGCGCTTTAGATCGCTGCTACTCCGTCTACAGGAACAAGATCCATGCCCAGTGGCAGAGAGGTTAGCAAATACATCTACATATTCTCAAACAATAGAAACCCATAATTCAGATAGTTTAGCCTTTATTTATTTAATTAATTAATTAATTTATAACCTGAATCTAAATCTGTCATTATTAATCAGCCATATTGTGAAAGTCAGTATTGACAAATATTTTGCCAAACAAAAAAGGTCAAAAGGCATCATTTAAAAATGTCAACGAAAAGATAATCTTGGCAGAAAATGAAAATTCATTTTCAATTATTTTCCAGACACATTGGGATGAAAATTAAAACAGTTCTGTCAATGTTATATTTTTCTATGTGATTACACTGTTTGGATAAAACATATTAGTCAACTAGTTGGTATAAAGAAATCCCAGTAGCTTCTCTGTCTTTTCTCATAAGAAGCAATTTCTCCTTTAGTGCATTACTGTGTTATTACCCAAATAAACCATGATCATTCATCATGCACGTTACTAAATGTTAGTGCAATGATTTGTGTTCACAGTATCGGCCAAAATGTTCTCTTTCAATTTTCAATGACCAAACAATCGATGCATCTCCAATAGGGATGTAACGATTCACGATTTTGATTTCACGATTCGATTTTCTCGCGATTTTTGAGATTGAAGACACATTATACAGTAAATTAAAAGTGTCCTTTTATTAGACTATTGCTGCACGTTTCTTTGTGAAATCAAAATATAACAAAACTAAATAGAAATTTTAAAACAAACCCCAAATCAAATAAATACGTTAACACAAATAAACTTCATATAAACAAACTAAGGCTTTGTCTGTGCTCTTTCCATTTCAAATTAGAGGCAACCACTGCATTTTAATCATCATCCAAACAGAGATGCATACATACATACATGCAGCATGAGCAGATTTTAATCTAAATTAGACTGTATAATTTCGAAATTTGAAGCAAAAACAGAATGGTCTGACTTTAGTTTTGTGAAACTATACTACATAAAACATATCTGAACGAAACGCAAGTTCACTCTCTGCCAGCAGGTGGCACTTATGAACAGCAATGATTCCTGGGCTACCGCTTTTTACCGAATTTAGGTTCCATCTTTCGTTTCTTCAGGGTCCATGAATACACATTCCAGCAGTGAACTATAAACGTGTGTGTGAAAGCTGTGTAATCAGTCTGTGTTGTTTAAGGCCTTCTCGTCCTTGTGTTTCAGAGGGTCTTGACAAGCGTTGCAGTCTTGAAGACTTCGGCTTCATGGTGTTCCACTCTCCTTACTGTAAACTGGTGCAGAAGTCTTTGGCTCGACTAATGCTCAACGATTTCCTCTGTCATCCCAGTCCAGACACAGAGAGCGGGCCCTTCAGCGGACTGGAAGCTTTCAGGTTAATATCCTCCTCCTGCTGGGGATTCGTCTTTAGGAAAGGTCCCACACAACACACAGTGACATAACAGCAGCCACATTTATTGAATATTTATTTAAATTTGACATTTTTTGGAATGTGTTTGAAGATTCTTCTCACAGCTGTTTTCCATACAACAGCAGCTCATCTTGTAGAAACCAAACATTTTACATTTCTTTCTAATTTTTTGCAGAGATGTGAAGATTGAGGACACTTATTTCGACAGAGATGTGGAGAAGACCTTTATGAAGGCCAGCTCAGAAGCGTTTGAGAATAAGACAAAGGCGTCTCTCCTTATATCAAACCAGAATGGTAACATGTACACACCGTCAGTGTACGGCTGCTTGGCTTCGGTTCTCGCTCAGTAAGTGTCACGTGTGCTCCTCGTGCCTCGTCTTCCATTCATGAGTGTACATTACAGCCTTTGTGCTTCTTCAGAACCGCTGTAAATGTGATGCACTCGTTTTTTTTTTAAATCTCTACAGACATACACCGCAGCAGTTGGCAGGACAGAGAATCGGTGTGTTTTCATACGGCTCGGGCTTTGCTGCTACGCTCTACTCCATCAAAGTCACACAGGACGCTACACCTGGTACACACACACACACACACACACACACTTTATTAGAGTGTCATTACTCTAAACTAGTGTGGGCAGCATGACCAATCTCGCAGTTACGGTGCAAGACATTTGGTCACTTTTATAACAAGACAGTTGTTTTATCTGGAAAGTCAACCCAAAAATGTTTTAGATATATTGTAACATTATACAATACACTGTCGTTCAAAAGTTTGGGATCAGTAAGATTTTTAATGTTTTTCCTTCTGTTCATCAAGGCTGTATCTATTTGATCAAAAATACAGACAAAAACTGTGATTTTGTGAAATATTATTGCAATTTTAAATTACAGTTTTCTATTTTAATATACTTTAAAATATAATTTATTCCTGTGAAGCAAAGCTGTATTTTCAGCATCATTACTCCAGTCTTCAGTGTCACATGATCTTCAGAAATCATTCTAATATGCTGATTTATTATCAGTGCTGGAAACTGTTGTGGTGCTGAATATTATTTGGAACCTGTGATTCTTTTTTTTAGGATTCTTTGGTAAATAAAAAGTTAAAAAGAACAATGTTTATTCAAAATATAATTTGTTTTGTTACAATATACACTATTCAAAAGTTTGGGGTCAGTACATTTTTTTCTTTCTTTTTTTCTTTAAAGAATTTAATACTTTTATTCAGCAAGGATGTGTTAAATGGATAAAAAATTATAGTAAAGACAAGACTTATATTGTTAGAAAAGATTTCTATTTTGAATAAATGCTGTTCTTTTTAACTTTTTTTTTATTCATCAAAGAATCAAAGATAAAAGTATCACAGCTTCCAAAATAATATTTAGCAGCACAACAGTTTCAACACTGATAATAAATCAGCATATTAGAGTGATTTCTGAAGATCATGTGACACTGAAGACTGGAGTAATGCTGCTGAAAATTCAGCTTTGATCACAGCAATAAATTACATTTTAAAATATATTCAAATAGGAAATCAATATTAGAAATTGCAATAATATTTCACAAAATTACAGTTTTTTTTCTGTATTTTTGATCAAATAAATACAGCCTTGATGAGCAAAAGAGACTCCATTAAAAATCGTACTGATCCCAAACTTTTGAACAGCACTGTACATGTTGATGATTTTTGGTAAATGAAAGGTACTTCATCATCTTAATTTAGAATTAATATTAACCAAAAAATGACATCTTGACAAAAACAGCTACTGTAGCAAAACTAAATCTCTCCCATAATCAACAAAGCTGCCTACAGTTACATAAGCTAGTGCTAGTCGTCCTGCCCATCCAGAATTGCAGTCATTAATAACTCATCTTTATTATGATAAGGATCCTCTCTGGATAAGTTGGTCTCCAGCCTGTGTGACTTGCAGGCCAGACTGGACTCTAGAAAGAAGGTTTCCCCGGATGTTTTTGCTCAGAACATGAAGCTCAGAGAAGAAACCCATCATTTAGGTAATCAAGCATTTTCGTTCTGTCCTTCTTTCAATGATTTAGTCTCCATTCAAATCTTGGATCTGTTTGACGTCGTGATGTTTCCACAGCAAACTACATCCCTCAGGGCTCGGTAGAGGAACTCTTCCCAGGAACATGGTACCTCACTCGTGTGGACGAGATGCATCGCAGGCAGTACGCCAGGCGCTCGGTGAGCGATGACAGGCCGCTGGAGGCCAGACTCCTCACTTCCAGCAATGCAGCCGAGGTATGTTTTTCAAACTGGTATTTGTTTCATATGATTTTAATGTATTTTCATAATAATAAAAGCAAATAGTTTTACAATTTATTGCATTTTGTTGTTGCTCTAGTTACAGTTGATGTCAAAAGTTTACATCCCCCTTTCAGAATCTACAAAATGTTCATTATTTTACCAAAATAAGAGGGATCATACAAAATGCATGTTATTGTTTATTTAGTACTGACCTGAATGAGATATTTCACATAAAAGATGTTTACATATAGCCTACAAGAGAAAATAATAGTTGAATTTATAAAAAATGACTCGTTCAAAAGTTTACATCCCCTTAAATGTACACATCTCCATTCTGTTCAAAAGTTTTCACCCCCCGGCTCTTAATGCGTGGTTTCTCCTTCTGGAGCATCAGTGAGCGTTTGATCCTTCTGTAATAGTTGCATATGAGTCCCTCAGTTGTCCTCAGTGTGAAAAGATGGGTCTCAAAATCATACAGTCATTGTTGGAAAGGGTTCAAATATACAGAAGATGCTGGAAAACCAAAGAATGTGCAGGAGCTGGGGGATTTTTCTGAAGAACAGCAGGCAGTTTAACTGTTCAGGACAAACAAGGGACTCATGAACAACTATCACTAAACAAAAAAACACCGCTGTGGATTATTCAGCTAACAACACAGTATTAAGAATCAAGGGGATGTAAACTTTTGAAGGGGGTCATTTTTATAAATTCAGTTATTATTTTCTCTTGTGGATTATATGTAAACATCTTTTATGTGAAATATCTTATTCAGGTCAGTACTAAATAAACAATAACATGCGTTTGGTATGATCCCTCTTATCTTGGTAAAATTTACATTTTGCAGATTCTGAAAGGGGGGTGTAAACTTTTGACCTCAACTGTATTTACAGTACCTATAGCACTTTCTGATGGTGTTTTTCTCTTTCTCAGCATATTCCCAGTCCGCTCAAGAAGATGCCCCGCATCCCAACCGCCACAGCTGGCCCTGAGGTGCTCGTCATTAGTAACGGGGACCATTAAGCTTACCTCCGTGAGGTGCACACCATGGCAGATCACATTGAGGACACTGATCTGTAAAAACGACACGCTAAAAATGGCCCCAGGACTTCTGCAGCCAGATCACTTGTCACTGAGTGATGTGAAACTCAAAGCTTTTGAATGTTCCAGGACAGACTCCCTGTAGTCTGGAAATGAAGTGTTTCTCTGTGGTGAGCTCCCACTAACTGCTGCTCACAGTCGTCTATGCAGAAATCCGGACTTGTTTCTTTCTTTTAAGTCCAAATATCTACCTGTTGGCTTTTCACAAGCTCCATGCTGTCTTTTTTTAAACATTAAACTAACCCCGTCATTTAAAGCAGACGTTTAGGAGAAAACATGGATGTCTTGAAGAAGAGCGTCCCTCGTTGTTTTTAACTGATCTGTTAGACGCTGTCTCTCTGTCCTCTTCAGCTGACCGCTGTCTTGTTTTCGCTTTTATAAAACTCTTCTCTAGTCAGTCTTATCACCATGGCCATGTCAGAGAAATGTGCCTGGATCACATATTAATGAGCCATAAGCTTTACAAGTTTTAATAACATTCACCCGTTTAGTAATAATTGTTTAGTCGCTGCTAAAAGGGCTTCTGTTAGCATTTATGTCCTTTGAAACGAGAATCATTTATTTGATTTTCATTCTAGCCAAAGTAGATGGTGTTCGTTTATATGAACTCAAGACGAGGAAATAAAGTCATGACAATTGTATAGAGGATAAAAACGTGATGATAACTTAGTGGCAATGTGTTAAAGCTATGAAATAGTATAATAATCAGTTAAACTGGTAACATCTTTTGGACAAAAGACAGTTTTGATGATGAAAGTGAGAAAGAGCACTATCTGATCATCAGCTGTTCACCTCCAAATAAAAACTCGCTCCAAACCCGTACACTCTCAGAGGAAAAAAGGTACAAAAGCTGTCGCTGGGGCCATACTTTTTCAAGAGATAGACCTTAGTACCTTAAGGGTCCATATTGATACCTTAAAGGTACATATAGTACATATCCAAAGTGTACATATTAATACCTAAAAAGTTCTAAAAGTATCTTTTTTTGGAAAGGTACCACCCTAGTTAAAGCTTTTGTACCTTTTTTTTCTGAGTATAGGACTGACTATCTTCTGAATCATTTATTTGATTTTCATTCTAGCCAAAGTAGATGGTGTTCGTTTATATGAACTCAAGACGAGGAAATAAAGTCATGACAATTGTATAGAGGATAAAAACGTGATGATAACTTAGTGGCAATGTGTTAAAGCTATGAAATAGTATAATAATCAGTTAAACTGGTAACATCTTTTGGACAAAAGACAGTTTTGATGATGAAAGTGAGAAAGAGCACTATCTGATCATCAGCTGTTCACCTCCAAATAAAAACTCGCTCCAAACCCGTACACTCTCAGAGGAAAAAAGGTACAAAAGCTGTCGCTGGGGCCATACTTTTTCAAGAGATAGACCTTAGTACCTTAAGGGTCCATATTGATACCTTAAAGGTACATATAGTACATATCCAAAGTGTACATATTAATACCTAAAAAGTTCTAAAAGTATATTTTTTTGGAAAGGTACCACCCTAGTTAAAGCTTTTGTACCTTTTTTTCTGAGTATAGGACTGACTATCTTCTGTGCAGCAATAAAAGACAATATTTTGAGAAATGTTGGCAGCTAAACAGTCCCGGTTCCCATTGACTTTCGATTTTCAAATAGTAAATGTGAACTGAAACTGTTTGGTTATTCTTCATAATATCTTTCATGATACACAGAAGAAAGTCAGTTATGCAGGTTTGAACGTGAGAGTGAGTAAATGATGGCAGACTTTTCATTTTTGGGTGAACTGTGCCTTTAACTCACTCTTTATCAACTATTTGTAGATCCCAACTGACTCTAATATTCCTTGATCTGTTGAGAAATTGCAATCTGAAGAGATTATATGATCAAATGTTTGGCCTGTGATTGTCCCAAACTACAGAGCACTTCTCAGTAACGATGCAGCTTATTTAGAGATTTATCGGTTTCAGATTTATAGTGGGAGAGAAGCAATATTATTAATACTACGGTATTGTAAATGTTAGCATCTTAACACCTTGATGCTAAATAGTTTATGGCAGATATAGGCTACAAGCAAAAAAAAAGATATTTTCAGAAAGATGCTTGATTGCATGAACACTGATAGCAAGATGGTATTTCTTTTCAGAACATTCTTCAATCCGTGGGTTCATGTTAACATCTGAATAACAAGAGCACTTCTGCTCCGACTGCTTATCCATCAACTCTGAGAAGCCTTATTCTGAGCATGTACAGAACACACATATATTCTGAAGACTGTAGAGAGATTTTCCTTCTTCAATCTGCTGCCAGAACATGTTGACTGTATAGAGTTATAACAGCCAATGTTTACAAGACGTCTCCCTCAGATCAGTTCACACCAATAATTGGTAAGTAATGTACAGCTCTAACTGATATTTGTAGATGGACAAAAGCTGGTATGTGATTAGGTGTAACTTGCAGAAAACAAGCTGTATGTGGGAATCTGATCATATATGAACTGAGGATTAAATGTTGATTTGCTGAGTCTCTGTTTATTCTTTGTCTCTGGAGGTTCATCATTTATAGTTTTGGAGACGGTGCTATGGAAAAGAGATGTCAATTAATAAATGCCCCTAGAATATCTATTACTTTTGATAAAACTGGGAATAAATCTATTTATATATGAAAATATTTTATATTACATTTTAAAGTACAAAAAAATTATTTGTGATTGAATCATTTCCCCATCAGTTAATGAGTTGGAAATGGGCTGCCAGACAGCTGTCAGGTTATATGTACTCAAGCGTTATCTCTTTACCTTTACCCTACAGAAAGGCTTTAGGACAGTCCAGGATTGCACCATTGCACAGTTCTGACTTCCTGTCTGCCAGCAGCCTGCAAAATGAATAGCTCATGAACTACACTCTGAATCGCACCCACTCTGTGTTCTCGGAATCACTTCCTTTTCCAGTTCCGCATATGCTGTGGCAATCCAGAATTTTTGGGGAAGCTGATGTTTAATATTAACCAACCAATAAAAGATTAGCAAGTCATATTTATATATATATGTGCTAATAATCCTGGTCTTGTACCCAAATGTTATGGCTCACTCTCAAAATATGGTGACAAACCTGTCCAGTGACTTGAATAATTAAAGTTTTTCAAATAGTCAAGAAACTCTGTAAAAGTCATAAGTTTATAACATGTTTATTAATTTATTATGACTTTTTTTGACTATATTATTGTCCTTTTTTGTTGTTGTTGAATGAGTCAAGTGCCTGAAAAACCCTTGTCCCCTTCATTTATAGTTATACTTATTTTTTAATCATTTTGTTTTCTGGGGTAAAGCATATGTGACAAAAAAAAAAAAAAGTGCTATTAATAATTTAACAATTTATAAATACTTGTTTTGCTTTTTGTCTTGATGTTTTTGAAAATACAAACGCTGCCGAGGTCAAAGTTCAGTTTCCCAACATGTTGAGTAAACCTTATATTTAATTTTTATTCCATGTAGTTCATTTGAATGTGTCCTCACGCTTTCCATTAAATATTTTAAGTTGGAGTGAGCTTTATTTGGAGTTCACATTGAAAATATTACTGTTTTATTATAATTTTGCAACGGTAGTTTAGTTTATGGCACTTCTCATTCATTTATCCATAAACAGTGATTGACTGTTGCGTTCCAATAGTCACATTCTAGCGTTTTGCGATTCCAACAGCACTTATTTCCGCCGTTCGTATACAACCCCAATTCCAAAAAAGTTGGGACATTTTGTAAAATACAATATAAATCAGAAATCTGTGATTAGTTCACTCTCTTTAACCTGCATTTGACTAGAGTACAAAGAAAAGATTTCCAGTGTTTTCACTGACCAACTTTATTGTGTTTTGTACATGCATTGTAACAAATCTTGATGGCTGCAACACACTCTGACTAAAATTGTTGGGACAGAGGCATGTCATATTATATATCAATTCTCCTTTTAATTACAATGTTTAATTGTTTGGGAAATGAGGATACTAATTATTAAAGAACGAGACCTGGCATTCTTGATCTATAACCATGGACTTCCCATGAAAGATATCATCTTGATGATAGTACATGTCTCTGAACAATCCCAGTATATGCCTCCGTGTCAAAGCTTCACACATATTCCAGTGCATTTTGCTTCTGTCGCTGATGAAAGTCTGGATGGTCCCTTTGGTCTTTGGGACGGAGAACTCGTGAAACAATGAAAACATCCTTCATCACTTGAGTTAAGATTAGAAAAATGTAAATTTTATAGCACAGCCACCACAAAATGAGAATTTAGCACCTCTTTTTACTTTGAGATCGCTCTGAGGTTAAATACAGATTTAACACCGTAACAAGATATAGTTTAATAGCTATGATGCTGGTTTTGAAATCAAATCTTTGAAAAATGCTGGGTTGTTTCAACCCAACTTTGGGTCAAATATGAACTAACCCAACCGTTGGGTTACATTTTTACATTAGATTTTTAACCCAAAAGTTGGGTTAGTCCAAATTTGACCCAAAGTTGGATTGAAACAACCCAGCATTTTTAAGAGTGTAGTTATGAAGGAAACACTGACAACAATGGCTTGGGGAAAAAAACAGTTAATCTTAAAAAATAAACCATATACATAAATCCAAATAAGAAATAAAACCGTTATCAAATAAGTGTCCTAACCTCCTAAAACATTGGTGTCTAATATTTTAGAGCAGTCAATGCAATTTGGGAAAGAAGTCAATTAAATCTGTATGTGTGTGAAAATATTCAGATGTAAGCCCCTTTGAAATCGTTAACCTTTTCATAAGTAACTGTAATTTAATTACACATTTTTCACAGTAACTGTAACAGATTACAGTTACATTTATTTTGTAATTAAACTACGTAATTGCGTTACATGTAACGAGCTGAGCTAAGAACAGTACTGAGAAGTTTTCACTATTGAGGTGTAAACAATATATTCAACACAAGATGGTGCTATAATAATCATGCTTGTTCCGCTCCCAACATTTAAAGCTATATTAATAAAATAAAACAGTGTTTCGAATAAAAATAATGCGGTGTCTCTTTAATTCTTTAAGCCTCTAAATAATTAAAACATGTCGAAAAGTATATTTTATTGACGTAACAAACCAAAAATTTTTACCGTTTTAGATCTAAATTTCCTACATTCTTACATTGTGTCGTTTTCCGACCGTAGTAAAGTAATTACAAGGAAGGATCAAACTAAATGTGAATACATAATTTGAGCGGAGCGGACTGAGGCGAGTCAGTGATGCGTGCGTGCGTGCG